GTGATATCATTTGCAAAGACAAATGCAGGACATCATCAGAAACAATGAACATGAGCAGTTTATTTTTAGCTCCATAAAAGCGGCAGTAATAACACCATAATAAAAATTAAAAGGTAACAATGATGGTAACAGACCATAACGGTTACCATCTTTGACCTGTTTTTTACCGTGCCTTAAAGGAAACTCCTCTGGTTGTTTCCATCGACAACAGTCACGAGAATAGATTGTTCAATGAGTTCTTTACCTAAATTTACGCTAGAAAGATGAAAAAGTCGTTAGCTTAGTAGCATTAAATAATAGCTAAACTGAAACAGTTACTATGTATTTCATTTTAATAACCGCACGAAAAATTTTTGCGCAACTGCTTATGACATAATAAAGCATTTTTCATTGTTCCTATCGATCAAAATTACTGTAGGTTGGAGATCAGGCAATCGTGCTGCTTCGTGCGTGAAGTATGACTACATCTTTTCGCGTACCAGAATATGCTACGTAGAACATGTCTAAGATAAAGGCATTAATAGATGAAGGCGATGTCGTAAAGCTGATATTGGAATTTTTGGAATCAAGGAGGTTGTACATCACTCAGGTATTTTTAATTAGTGATTTATTGCATGATTTTTTATACATTACGCTGTGTAGTGTTAAATGGCGGAATTTAGTAGGCTTGGTTTTTTAAGGGACGAAAGTTCCTGGGCATACATTGCCATCGCGTTGCTGGTACGAGAGAAGAGTGGCCGTTAAGCCGGAACTCGCCAAGCGGCAAGAAACACGGCCGTGCCGTTAATTGACACTTCTGCGAAATCTTTCCTTACCAGCATCCCATCCTTAAGGATTTATACCAGTCGTGTCTAAGAGTATTACTATTCTGCATCTGTTGCGATGGATGTCTTTAAGAGTATTGGTAGATGTTGGCACATTATTAGAGGTCGACGGTCGAAGTCTGGTAGTGCTGGGTACTAATTCCGAAAGAAGAAGAAACATGTCCTAACTGCAAATTCCGTTCAGCAGGGAATTCATCTCATGTTGTTTTGGTGCAACCAGCAAAGAAACGGATCGCAAGATGTTGACCTGCGAACAGCATGGATATGAGGGTGCGATCGTATCGGAATGGGAGATAGGTCTGTTCACTTTGGGTGATGCGAGTGTCAGTTCTGGCTGCAGTTCACCTTGACTCACCTGATAGCTGAATACACGGTGTGATAATCAGCACAGAGTGTAACCCTTTTTTAGTCTCGTGACGAGCTGTTTCTGCGATAACAGATGCGTTTGTGCCAATTTCTCATAGACGAAGTCATATCGATATACTTTTTAAGAACTTAAACATCCACACTTCCGTCGCATTGTTGGAATTTTCAGATTTTCGTTTGTATCTGTTTCAGCAGTATGAATGTATGATAAAAACGCACTATTCGTTTTTAGAATATTCTCTTAGGCCTGGTTCCCAAGCCTTATCCCCATCACTAAAATTTCATATGCCGTTCTCAGACCTCTGTATAAACGGATGATGTAGACCCTTGTGCATTTGTGCTTGTAAGATTTTTCCTCGACTAATTTTTTCGAACGGATTCTATTTTACGAAACCTGTGGACTGCAAATATATTTAAACCCTGCTTTCTTTGTGCACTTAAGTTGGAAAGCAACGCTCGCTGCCTGCTGTGTTGCAACACTAGATATGTAGACGGCTTTAGCGAACGGTGAATTCTTTCGCTAACGAAAACGAGACGTCTATTCTCTCGGAGGAGAGCTGAATTCCCATAAAAAATAGACGGTAGGTGATTTCCAGAGGAGGAAAAGTCTAAGATTCCGTCTGACATTTCTCTTTTGAAATGTGTACTTTTAACGTAATCGAACCAGTTTGTCCTCTTTCCAAATTTCTCGTTTTACTCTTCATTGGTATATATGCGCAACTGATTCAGTTGCCTTAGTCACTACTGATTTAGTTAGCTAATTTAATGAGACTGTTTAGCTGATAAGAAGTGAATATCAAGGCACTCGTGAAATAAAGTAATTGCAGTAGTAGCAGGAAAAATAAAACTAAGCAGAGAAAGTAGTTACTTAAATTTTCTTGGGATTAAACGTGCATCTCTTATAGTAGCGGAAACCTGGTTGGCAGCATTTTTTCTTTTACAGCATTATGCTCTCATGATCTTCGGCCGCGTGTTATTCGGTTCTGTCACTGAAGTCTTATGCTAGAAGTTCGTCATTGTACGGGTGCAACACCATAACGTTACCTAGCATTTTCAAAGATTGGATATCCTTCTTGAATGAAATAGAGTTTCTTGCTCTCAGCTGAATGAAGTAAATCCGTCGACATGATTAAGTTGTGGGCGTAGTAAGACAGCAGCTGAGCTCATCACATGGCCTTTCATGATCTGCATTCGAATTGAAACGATTATGCAGCATTATATTGGTATTTCGTATATCGTTTCAAGTACACTAATGCCTCATTATAGTCTGAGTCTTAACGAATAATAATAAATAGATAAATGTTCATGCTCGTTATTAAAATCTGTTGAGTACTAACCGTTGCAAAATGGAAGTATGCAGTTACCCCTCACAGAAAGATACGGTTAGTGTTTTAAAGGCTTCAGTAAGTCTTCTAGTCGTAGGAAGTGCGACACAGTGGTTACGGGCGCAAAGAATATTCAGAGCCAAAATACTAGTAGTCCACGTTTTGGCCAACAAAAAATTTGTCCATTATCAGGGCGTAGAGGGGTAACGGACACTGTTTATGATACCCTATTTTAGTACCATATATGATGCGGTGCTGATTATCGCTTCAGTGCGACTTAACTTTTTGAAAGCAATGTCTGCGGCGAAATGGTGGTTATGACGTGTAGTCTTCTGCTTCCTTCTCATGTACACGTAGATTTTGTCAAAATGGCATGGTATTTTATGCGCCAATGCTTATTTTGCGTCTGTTTAACCCAGAGAAATTCCAACCATGCCCCTGTAGTTCCTCCCGTTGATATGTAGCTCGATATTTTAAATTTGTTCTTTTGTGGGTGAATTTGCACAAACTGCTAGCTTTGGCTGAAAATTGAGGGTTGGACGAGTTAAGCCTGGAGCATGTTCAGGGCGGATTACGAACTAGTGCTGTGTTGAAAAGCTGTACTTTGTTACGCCAGTTCTTCTTAATTTTCGTCTTGATTCTTTTATTACTAGTGCGTGCTGTTTAGTTGTCACTGGAAAGAGAAACCGGCGTCATCAACGGCTGTTTCTCGGACGATGCTCTGTTTCTTCGGCAGCTGATCCTTGACGGACAGTGGGACACCGTCATAGATTTCATCGAACCGCTGAAGGCATCGCCGCAATTCAATATCAATTTGGTGCACTTCTTGATTTACAAGTACAAATACTTTGAACTTTTGTGCATCAAGCTAGAACCAGGTCCGATGAAAAACAACCAGTTCACGGTGGCAGAAGTTGTCGAATGTTTACGAGCCATCGAATCTGTTTGTCCGAAGCCTGAAGAATATAATGAACTTTGTGCCTTGTTGACACTCAGTCAGTTGAAGTAAGCGTTGAAGCAAATTATGTCATTTTTGCTTAGTTTAAAATCATTGTATACGCTCTACGTTTAACAGAGCTGTTCAGAAAGTCTATATTGTAGTGGAACGGTTTTTAATTAGTTGATTATGTAATGTTTATCGCATAGCCATCTTCAGTTAAAATCGATGAAAACTCACGAGGTAAAATGTCAAATGTCCGTTCATATTCACAGAAGAATTTTTTTCCTCAGTAAAAATTCGAAAGCATAAATTTGGCTAACGCGAGTTCGTCGTTTGCGAGAAATGTCCAAATGCAGCATTCAGCCTTATAGTATAGTCTTAAAGACTTGTCACGAACCCAAATGAAAAAACTCCTGCAGCGGGATTGTGATGAAAGGCCAAAAAACGCTACCTTCTTCTTGCTGCCAGCGCGAACCGTGTTCCATTGTCATTTAAAGTTGTTGTAACTTCTTAAACGCTTGCCAGGGTTACTGGTCATGAAACGGGGCTGCGCAAGTAATTGAACCGCATTTTGTTACTCACCGTAGTTGGCAGGAAAAATTATTGAAGCCAAGATACTTATGGTGGCAACTCATTCTGTTCATTGAATATTTCTGGTACAGAAGATAAAGGGACTTATTCCATAGTAGCACCCACGAGAAATTCCAGTTAACATGTAAATTACTAGACGCAAGACTTCCTGTACTTTACGTCTTGAAAAAAGAAAATGAGATATTCTGCCAACCACCGTGTACGAAAGGTTTACCAGCT